GATTGACCTGAAGGGTAGAGGGTATTATGTTTAGTGAAATGTCAAACAGAGAAAGACAAATTCTGTATGTTTTCACTTATATGTGAAATCTAAAGAATAAAACAAAACAGAAACAGATTCACAGATACAGAGAAAAGGTTGGTGGTTGCCAGCGGGTAGAGGGTGAGAGAAGGGGCAAAATGGGTGAGGGGGATTAAGAGGTACAAACTAACAGGTATAAAATAGATAAGTTACAAGGATGTAATGTACAGTACAGGGCATATAACAAATGTTTTATAATAACTTTATATGGAATATAATCTATAAAAATATCAAATCACTATGTCATACACTTGAAACTAATATAATATTGTAATTAAGTATATTTCAATAAAAAATTAAGTGAATAAATATATGAATAATTCAATGCTGAATTATCTGTTAGTGAATTGAGTACTTGTGAATTCATGAGTCATCTGTTATTTCAGCCCAACATTTTTTTTAGCATATCCTCTGAAAGTCACAAATTCTGTGATTCAGACTCAGTATGAACAGAAAACTCTTGAGTTATAGTTGTTTAAGCTTCCCAAACATCATCAGGATAGTGGCATGCTGGTAGTACTTTTATTTTTCTTCACCTTTTCCACACATAAATTCAGATTCTAATTGCTGCAAGTCCAGCACTTCTTACCAGCAATAAATTTAAAACCTTTGGCCGACTTCCCTTAATTGATGTCTCACTCCCTTGTCTAATTAACTTCCCTGGAGGGAGTGACTTCCAATAGCAATGTTTTCAGGGTCCTATTTCTCTAACCTATAAAGGGAGGTAAACCATCCTCATATTTTATATATTTTAAAGAGATACTATGGATCTATTCCAGAAACCATATTTTTATTTTATTTATTAGCTGGTTTTAATTAAACCTCTAGAGAAAGCTGAATGAAGCCCTGATTGCAACAGAGTCAGAAGATTAAATTATTTTGTTATCTTTGTCACATGCGAGGTATATCAGAAAACAAAATTTTTCTTCTTTTGAGATAAGTTTTACTAAAACTGGGAGATATAGTAAAAACTACATATCTATTTTTTTCAGATTCTTTTCCCTTATAGGTTATTACAAGATATTAAGTATACTTCCCAGTAGGACATTGTTGTTTATCTATTTTATATACAGTAGTTTGTATCTGTTAATCCCCCACTTCTAATTTATCCCTACCTCCCTTCTCCTCTGGTAACCATACGTTTATTTTCTATGTCTTTGTGTCTATTTCTGCCTTATATAAGTTTATTTGTGTCATATTTTAGATTCCACGTATAAGTGATATTTGTCTCTCTCTGACTTACTTCAAATAGTATGATAATCTATATGTCCATCCATGTTGCTGCAAATGGCACTATTTCATTCTTTTTTTATAGCTGAGTAGTATTATAGTATGTATATATAACATATCTTCTTTATCCACTCATCTGTTGATGGACAATTAGGTTACTTTTATGTCTTAGCTATTGGAAGTAGTGCTGCTATGAACATTGGGGGGCATGCATCATTTCAAATTATGGTTTGCTCTACATATAGGCCTGGGAGTGAGATTGCAGGATAATATGTTAACTCTAATTTTTGTTTTTTTAAGGAGCATCCATACTCCTTTCCATAGTGGCTGCACAAATTAACATTCACATCAACAGAGTAGAAGGATTCCCTTTTCTCCAAACCCTCTCGAGTATTTATTATTTACAGACATTTTGATGATGGCCATTCTGACCAGTGTAAGGTGATATCTCATTGTAGTTTTGCTTTGCATTTCTTTAATAATTAGTGATGTTGAGCATCTTTTCATGTGTGTGTTGGCCATCTGTATGTCTTCTTTGGAGAAATGTGATCTTCTACCTATTTTTTGATTGGGTGTTTGCTTTGCTGATATTGAGCTGTTTATGTATTGTGGAAATTAATCCCTTGTGGATGACATTGTATGCAAATATTTTCTTCCATTATGTGGGTTGTCTTTTTGTTTTGTTTATAGTTAAGCTTTTAAATTTCATTAGGTCCCATTTGTTTATTTTTGTTTTTATTTCCATTATTCTAAGATATGGATCCAAAAAAATATTGGTGAGATTTATGTCAAAGAGTGTTCTGCCTCTGTTTTCATCCAGGAGTTTTATAGTATCCAGTCTTACATTTAGGTTTTTAATACATTTGGGGTTTATTTTTTATATGATGTTAGAGAATGTTCTAATTTCATTTTTTTTACATGTATCTGTCCAGTCTTCCCGTACTATTTATTGTAGAGACAGTCTTTATCTCCATAGTATACTCTGACCTCCTTTGTCATAGATTAATTGACCATATTGACCATAGGTGAGTTGGTTTATTTCAGGGCTTTCTATTCTGTTCCAATCATTTATATGTCTCTGTTTATTCCAGTACCATACAGTTTTGATGACTGTAGCTTTGTGATATAGTCTGAAGTCAGGGAGCCTGATTCCTCCAGATGCATTCTTTTCTCTCAAGATTGCTTTGGCTATTCAAAGTCTTTTGTAGTTCGATACAAATTTTTAAATCTTTTCTTTTAGTTCTGTTTAAAATGCCATTGGTAATTTGATAGGAATTGCATTGAATCTGTAGATTGCATTGGGTAGTGTAGTTATTTTAAAAATATTGATCCTTCCAATCCAAGAACACTGTGTATCTTTCTATCTGTTTGTGTCGTCTTCAATTTCTTTCAACAATGTCTTATAGTTTTTGGAGTACAGGTCTCTGGCCTCCTTAGGTAGGTTTATTTCTAGGTATTTTATTTTATTTTTGATGGAAAATGGGACCTTTTCCTTAATTTTTCTCTCTTTTCTTTAGCTGTTAGTGTATAGAAATGCAACAGATTTCTATATTAATTTTAAATCCTGCAACTTTACCAAATTCATTGATGATCTCTAGTAGCTTTCTTGTAGCATTGTTAAGATTTTCTATGTATGTTGCCATGTCATCTGCCAACAGTGACAGTTTTACTTCTTTTCCAACTTAGATTCATTTTATTTCTTTTCTTTCTCTGATTGCTGTGGCTAGGACTTCCAATACTGTGTTGAATAAAAGTGGCCAGACTGGGCATCCTTGTCTTCTTCCTGATCTTAGAGGTGATGTTTTCAGCTTTTACCACTGAGTATGATGTTAGCTGAGGGTTTGTCATATATAGCCTTTATTATGTTGAGGTATGTTCCCTCTATGCCTACTTTCTGGACAGTTTCTATCATAAATCGGTGTTGAATTTTGTCAAAACACTTTTGTGTATCTATTGAAATCATCATATGGTTTTTATTCTTCAATTTGTTAATGTGGTGTATCACACTGATTGATTTGCGGATATTGAAAATTTCTTGCATCTGTGGCATAAATTCCACTTGATCATGGTGTATGATCCCTTTAATGTGTTTTTGGAGCTGGTTTGCTAGTATTTTGTTGAGGATTTTTGCATCTATATTCATCAGTGATATTGGCCTGTAGTTTTCTTTTTCTGCGACATCTTTGTCTGGTTTGTTATCAGGGTGATGGTGTCCTCATAGAATGAGTTCAGAAGTGTTCCTTTCTCTGCAATATTTTAGAATAGTTTCAGATGGATAGATGTTAACTCTTCTTTAAATATTTGGTAGAATTCACTTGTGAAGTCATCTGTCTTGGACTTTTGTTTTTGGGAGTTTTATATTACTGTTTTTGATTCAATTCAGTACTGATAATTGGTGTGTTCATATTTTCTATTTCTTCCTGGTTCAGTTTGGGAGATTGTACCTTTCTAAGAATTTGTTCATTTACTCTAGGTTGTCCATTCTATTGGTGTATAATTGTTAATAATAGTTTCTTACAATCTTTTTTATTTCTGTGGCCAGTTGTAACTTCTTTTACAGTTTTGATTTTATTGATTTGGACCCTCTTTTGGTGAATCTGGCTAAAGGTTTATCAATTTTTTGTGTTACTGTCAATTTCTCCTTTTATGTTTGTTAATATTTGCCTTATACACTGAAGTGCTTCTATGTTGAGTGCATGTATATTTACAATTATTATATCTTCTTCTTGAATTGATCCCTTGATCATTATGAAGTGTCATTCTTTGTCTCATAAAAGTCTTTATTTTAAAGTTTATTTTATTTGATATAAATACTGCGACTCCAGCTTTCTTTTTATCTCCATTTGCATAGAATACCATTTTTCCATCCCCTCACTTTCAGTCTGTATTTGTCTTTAGATCTGAAGTGTGTCTCTTGTAGACAGCATATATACTGGTCTTGTTTATGTACCCATTCAGGAAGTCTTTGTCTTTTAGTTGGAGTATTTAATTTGTTTACATTTAAAGTAATTATCTATATGTGTATTCTTATTTACACTTTGTTAATTGTTTTGGATTTGTTTTTGTCAGTCTTTATTTTCTGTTTCTTCTTTTTTTCTCTTCTCTTGTGGTTTGATGACTATCTTTATGTCTTTATATCTATTATAGATTTTTGTTTTTCAGTTACTGTGAGGCTTTGGTATAGCAGTCTATATATATATATACACACACATGAATGCTTTAGTTTTCTGATCTCTTAATTTCAAAAGCATTTTAAATCTCCTGCACTTGTCCTCTCCTCCTGTCATGATTCCTGGTTTTGATATCATATTTTACATGTAATTATTTTGCATACCCCTTAAGTGCTTATTGTGTATACAGATAATTTTACTACTTTTGTCTTTTAACTTCCCTACTAGTTTGTGTGTGGATGATTTCTTACCTTTACTATAGGTTTGCCTTTACCATTGAGATTTTCCATTTTGTAATTTTCTTATTTCTAGATGTGGCCTTTTCTTTTCTACCTAAATAAGTTCTTTTAGCATTTGTTGTAAAGCTGGTTTGGTGGTGCTGAATTCTCTCAGCTTTTGCTTGTCTACAAAGCTTTCAATTTCTCCATGCAATATGGATGAGAGTCTTCCTGAATATTCTTGGTTGTAGGTTTTTCCCTTTCATGACTTTAAATGCATTTTGCCACTCCCTTCTGGCCTAAAAATGTGTAATGCTTCACAAATTCACATGTCATTCTTGTGCAAGGTCCATGCTTATCTTCTCTGTATTGTTCCAATTTTACTATATGTGCTGCTGAAGTGAGCACTGATGTGATTTCTTTTTTATAATATTTAATTTTTCACACCAATAGTTTGAAGAGTGACAGTTATACTGATATATTTATGTGTGTGTGCATGTGTGTGTGTGTTAGAGACAGAGCTGGACTGAAGCAAAAAGTGGAATGAAGTAGATGATAGTCTGTTGGTGTGAGTTTTGTGTTGCATTATTACCTCCTACCCTGCTTTTGTGACCAGCATCACTTTACTCCCCTTAATAATCCTTTTACCTTGGGGACCCTGATTCCTTTGTTATATCCTGTATGTCCAGAGTTCCCAGTAGGCTACTTAGACCTGAAAATGATGAATGGTCTAGGTACTCTTTTTTTTACTGATAAAAATTCACATATTCTTTGTCCTTTCCACCACAGTCCCTTCTGCTCTACTTTTACAACTGGCAACAAGATTATATAACAAATATATTTATGCTCTTGGCATTTTAATAGAAGACTAAATTTTGTACTTTCTAACATTTGTATTTAATAGTATATGGATGGCTTGAAAGAACAACTTCACTTTTGCCATCTAAACCCAAATAGTAACTCTAATTGGGAAACCTTAGGCCAAGTGGAAGTGTTCAAATGTAACCTTACAGTAGATGATTTAGGCCAGGTAGATGTTAGAACATTCTCTAGTAACATGTAAACAACCAAACTAGAAGAACTACAACTTTAATTTATATAAATATAGTTCAAGAGGCTTAGTCTTAGTTGGTGCATGTGTAACAGGGATCATTATGTTTTAAAATATGTTTAGGTATATTCTCCTATCTTGAAATTTTTCTTGACCCATGGCTTTTTACCCTTTTTTAAAAAATATGTACCAACTTTATTGAGATGGGGTTTTCATATATTTTACAATATTATATAAAGTTACAGGTGTACATCATAATGATTTACAATTTTTAAAGTTTATACTCCATTTATAGTTATTATAAAATATTGGTCATACTACCTGTGATATAAAATATATCCATATAGCTTATTTGTTTCATACATAGTAGCTGTACCTGTTAACCCCCCACTATCAACTAGCCCCTCCCCCTTCCCTCTCCCTACTGGTAACCACTAGTTTGTACTCTGTACCTATCAGTCTGTTTCTTTTTGTTACATTCACTAGTTTTTTTTAGATTCCACATATAGGTGATGTTATACAGTATTTGCCTTTTTCTGACTTATTTCAGTTAGCATAGTACCCTCCAAATCTATCCATATTGTAACAAATGGCAAAGTTTTATTCTTTTTTATGGCTAAATAGTAATGCATTGTATATGTATACCATATCTTCATTATCCATTCATCTGTTGACAGACACTTAGGTTGCTCCCATATCTTGGCAATTCTAAACAATGCTGCTATGAACATTGGGGTGCATGCATCTTTTCAAATTTATGTTCTTGTTTTTATTTTGAATGTACACCAGGATGGAATTGCTGAGTCATACGGTATCTGTATTCCTATTTTTTGAGAAACTGTCATAATGTTTTCCACAGTAGCTCCACCAATTTATAATCCCACCAACATTGTATGTGTTCCCTTTTCTCTACATTCTAGCCAACATTTATTATTTGTGGTCTTTTTGATGATAAACATTCTGACAGGTGTGAGATGATACATCATTGTGGTTTTAATTTGCATTTTTCTGATGAATGATGATTAATGATGAACATCTTTGCATGTGTGTTTGGCCATCTGCATGTCTTCTTTGGAAAAATGTCTATTCAATGTGTATCACTCACTGAACAGAAGCCCCCTAAAATAAGAAACTCATTTCTCATCTTTGACAATCAAATTCTGTTTTCTTATTTACTTTAGGTGCCAGCATGTTGTTGAAGGGTTACTTAGAGAAAGAATAAGTAAGTAGCCTACTCCCCTTCCACCAGATGGCTTGTGGAAGAGAGACAGTAACAAAGCATATGGGTCACAGAGTAGCATCCTCTTCCTAATCCTCCACTCTATGCCTTCCAAGCCAACTAATGGGAGGTTGCTTACAAACAATCACAAGGAAGTTTGAAAACACTGGGGTTAGTGACCGAATTTCCCACAGTTATGAACACACTTACTGTTTACATTATATCTCCATTCTGATTGGTCTTTGTTTATATTTCACTTTTAAGGAATGCTAGGAGTAAACTGGACTCTCTGGGGCAGCCCCACATGAGCTAGACAGAGGTGGTGGCAGAGGGCTGCAACAGCTTTATTGAAACAATGCTCAGGAGTCCCCATGGCCTACGTGTGACATGCAAATAATACCAAAGAGAGTCAAAAGTACTGGTAGAAATGGACTGGAAGCGACCTGGTGTAACAATAAAGAGACTGTGTTGAGCAGGACCTTGAGACCCAAAGGCAAAGGGACCAGTTCATGTATTCCAGTAGAAAGTGCCTATTTATCATGGGCCCACTTGCCTGTCTTTGACATTCCTCTGAGTAAACCAGTCTAGTAAACAGAATCAAATGGTTACCAAGGGCTGGGGGGAGGGAGAAATGGGGAATTACTAATCAAAGTGCACAAAGTTTCAAGCAAGAAGCTCTAGAGATCTGATGTACAGCATTGTACTTATAGTTAGCAATAATATATTGTACACTTAAAAATTTGTCAATAGGATAGATCTCATGTTAAGTGTTCTGATGACAATTGAATAAATTTAAAAAAAAAAAAGAATCAGACCCGACCCTTGGTTAAAAATATCAAAAACGATACAGAGGATACTGTAGGACTTAGAAGATGAGAGGAGGAAATTCTACTGCCATGAGGTTGCATAAGCCACACCTTTCCCCCACACTCAGGGGAAATTTTGGAAAGGACAGTGAACAGGGCAGAACTTTGAATGAAAACTGGCCTAAGTACCCCAAGCAGAAGTTGTGTTTTTTAAATATGTTTCTTAAATTATTGCCTTATCTTAGCACTGAATTACTGGATTAAACCAAAATTCAGTTCCTCCTCACCCCAGCTACCCATCAGTCAAGGACGCATAGGAAAGAATAGACAAGTTGTAGAGAAATAAAACAGCTGTGAATAATGCTTGGCTCTAGCTGTCCATGTTTTTTTCTTATTGGCATTTTCTACACAAGTTCCAAGGCTCATTATAAACTGTCATTTGTGTACAATCTGGCAAATTATTTTATTATGGGGACCCACAAGACCAGTTAATTAAAAATACATAAAATAGATGATATATTTCTAGAGAGCAGAAAATGTATTTGGAATTGCATAGTGCCTCTCCAACACACACACATGTATGCACACACACCCAGTGGTATCTAGAAAAGTGCTTGCACATAGCACGCATTTTGTCACTATTTGGTAAATTGTCTTGGGTGACTACATATTTGTTTACAATGCACATGGATGCTTATTGTTTCATAGTTTCTTGACACTCCCTTGGCTATGTGGGTAGGTACACATTGTGCTTTTCTTCAAGCTTTGAGATTGATTGAGGTATCCTAGGTCTGGTTAGAAGTTTTCAGGGATAGTGATCAGGTATGAGATTTTGGAATTTAGGTCATATCAAAGAAAGTGAGTCAATAGTCTTTGGGCAAAAATAACTAGGTTTTATTCTTCTAGAACATTTACTTCTTTTTAGCAGACTGGCTTAAAAGAATACTTAAAGTCTGCCTCTCTCTGCTGGTGATAATTATTTCAAATTCATGCAGTTTCACTGAGTGATCATTTACAGACCTCCTTCCTTCCACAGGATGAAATGGTTGGACTTGATAACTATTCCACAATCTAAACCTCTCTAAGAATTTCTAAATCATGTAAATTATTTATCAGGACTCGAAAAGTATAAAGAGAAGGAACAAGAGAGAAATGAGATACAAAACTTTAGAGCCAAAGGCAAGGAAGCTGACAGTAAAATAAAATTTACAAAGACTTTTAGTTGTTTAAAGAAAGGTGTCAAACACTACTATTATTCATAGATAGGGCAGTCATCAGGTTTTCAAAGATGTAGGTCTGTCATATGAAACTAGGTGCCAACTACTCTGTTTCTTAGATTTCATCTTCTAGCAAACAGAACAATCTAATGGACTGCAGTATTCACAGAGTCTTCCCAAACTTGGAAGAGTTCCAGGGGTCAGGGTAGCTGAGGGAGAAAAGTAATGTACTAATCCGTTTCATCAGGATAAAAGCAGAGTATTAAACATTTAGAGCAAAGGAAACGAGGAAGTAAAGACCAGCTCTATGGCTATAAGAATCTTGTTATTTTTATATCATCTCCACATTTTTAAAAAATATTTTGGTTTTTCTCCTTACTTATGAATACCTTAGAATGAAAAGATATAGTGGATTTGATTTTAGAGGTAATATGGGACAGGGAAAACTCAGTAGATTGTGCCCTACTCCATAGAAGATGAGGGTTGAGAAAAATCCAAAGGGACAGAGTAGAGGCAGTTAACAAGTGAATAAATGCAAGCTGATTGCCTTGATCCCAGAGCTTAGGAATAAGAACAGTGAAGTCCATGTGGGTTTGAGAAAGGCCTTGGCCCCAAGCAATAAAAGGATCCATAAGTACAATATTCTGAAAGGCTAAGATTTTAGTCCAGTGGTTGAAAAATGACAATCTCTATTCATTCTTGCTGTAGCTATATTACGATATAAAATGTATCTTCTTATCTACAAATTTATAATCCCATTTTTCTTCCACAAGTGAGTCTTCTAGGTAGTGTTAAACTACCTTGATTCATTCCTGCATTCTCAGAGATTATCCAGTGCCAGAAGCATTGTGAATAAAATAATAAGTGCTTGCATGTTTAATGATAACTCTGGCCTTAGTCCTTCCTTTTCTCTAATTTATGATGAAAACTGTCCCCAACCCATGAAGATTAGTTGTATGGATTCCACCTCATGTTTAGCTGTCTGTTCTTTTTTTTTTTTTAAACATCTTTATTGGGGTATAATTGCTTTACAAT